CTCTCTCTCTCTCTCTCTCTCTCTCTCTCTCTCTCTCTCTCTCTCTCTCTCTCTCTCTCTCTCTCTCTCTCTCTCTCTCTCTCTCTTTCTCTCGTAGTCTGCTGATGCAGTGAAGTCAGACAATGAGAGGTTGAGAGGGAGATGGTGGACTGAGAAGAGGAAGAAGAAGAGCTCTCTCTCTCACGAGCCAGGTACTAACCTGTGAAGTTGGCGCTGTGCTGCAGGTACCTCGAAGACGAAGCTGGAGCAATGGCGCTGCAGGTAAGTACCTCTGGCCTCCGCCCAATCTCTCTCTCTCTCTAGCACTACTCTAGCTATGGCGCCCAGCACTGGAGACTACACCTAACGCTACTAGCCCCCAGCGCTGAATACTAAGGCTAACGCTACTACTACTTGCAGCGCTCCTCCAGAGTGCTGCTGCCGAATCCTGAAGACTAGTGCCTCCTGCCTGCCCGTGAAGTGCCTGGGAAGTACCTATGTACTTTCTTGGCCTGCCTCGGCCTGCCTCCTGACTGCCTCCGACTGCCTGCGGTTGCAGGGCGAGGCAGTCCAGGAGGCTGCTCTTGCCAATGCCCAAACGAGGCAGGGGCTGGCACTGCAGCTGTCGTGGGAACAGGCCAAAAATAGCCTGTTCCTAAAACCTTGGTTTTGTGCCTGAGTCTTAGGGCCGGTCGGTCTGATGATGGACCGGAAATGGCCCTTCGTTTCAGGCTAAAAAGGCTATTGCCATTTTTAGTCTGAAACGACACAGGGTCTGCAGGCCCCTGTATTTCAGGCTTTCGAGCTGATCAGACACGGGGCCTGTAGGCCCTGGTTTTCAGGCTTTCAGCCTGAGGGACGCAGGGCCTGGAAAATGGCCCTCGTGTGCAGGCGCAGCATGTAACACTGGGCCTGCACACTGACACGGTAGGCCCTCAGGGACTGCCTACTGGGAGAGCAAGCAGCCTGGAGGTGGCCTGGACCAGCCAGCACAAAAGAGCGGAGCCCCCCCGGCCAAACATATTCGGGCATTTGAGCGGCCACGCTTCTGGAGAGCAAAGCCAGCCAGTGCCCGAGGAAGGAGAAGCTGCGCGGTGGCAGCAGAGGAAGGAGAGTAGCACCAGCCATAGCCGGCTGGGCGCGAGGTTGGTGGATGGTGGAGATGCGGAGTTGGAGTGGAGAGGGAAGGGAGGCAGTGGGAACAAGGAATTTACCTTGTGTGACGAAGGCAGTCGGTGTGACCAGAGTCTTCAAACAGCATCAGGCGATTGACACGTGGACAGAGCGTGACATGTAGATAGCCCAGGCTGCTAGGAAAGCTGGACGTAGGCAGGGCGGTC